ACACACATACACACAGACACACATACACACATACACACATACATACATACATACATACATACATACATACATACATACATACATACATACACACACATAAATGTAACTCTGCTGCGACCCAACTGCCTTGCTCGTAGCTTGCAGGCATCTTTGGGGCCATCAGCTTCTCAATTGGCTGCTGCTTATTTGCATGTGTGCCTCGAATGGCAAGTTCCCGTTTAGTTTTTCTTTCGAGGTGACTTGGGCACATGTCGGTTGAACCCATGGGGACAGTGTCGCATGCGACAGCTCATGCACCAGCTTCGCCTTCGATGCTGTGCATTCTCGCTTGGGTTGTGTGGACGGTATTGTAAAAGAGCATCAGCATGTTTTGAACAGCTGCCGCTCCTGCGCGCCACAAGAAACACTGTGGTGGAACGTGGGTTCGGGCCTTTCAGGGTCTTTGTAAACGGCAGCTCGGGCTGGCCAAGTGCTGCATTGGAGACATCTGGATGTTTCGTACGGCTGGGCGTCTCGAATTAGGCGCGATACTGCTCGTCTGGAGTGCTCCCTGGGGTGGAACCTGCCTTCCCACCAGTTGGGCACGCATTTGCAAAAGCTTCAAAGGGATGCCCCCTTCTGAATCGTGGCACCTTCAGAGGTGCTCTGCTGCTGGAAGGACTTGGTGCCTTTCTCTGCTGCACTTATGAGGACGGCTGGAATATGAACAGGCTTGTGCGACTTGTGGGCTTCCTGTCGCGACACTTGTCTGTGTGCGAGGACGATTATCAAAGTCGTGGAGATCCATACGTCAGTCGCCCAGCATTATACTTGGCCCTTGGGCCTTGCCTAACGACACCGTCGCTGGGACTGGCATACAAGCCCTGGCTTCCGACCACCGAAACGAACAAGCATCCGTAGCACAGTCTGCGGTGGCGCCACCTCCGCTGCAAAACCTTGCCTTATATCAACTGCCAAACTGCTAAACTTTCTCGTGTCTCGGCGCGACCTGTGCGATGTCGGTGAGATCGAATGAACGGCTAATGCTTATGAGTGGGCCTGTGCGAAAGTTTCATCAGCAGAAGAAGTGCTGAATCTCCATGAGCGAAAACCTAGGCCCTAGGCAGCATGTTTTTGGTGCGTTAGCATAGCAGTAGTGTGCACTTGCACCTTCCACGACATTTACCACGCCATGATTGCACTAAACACCTTGATTGATCTTGCTGTAGCTTCGGCGAAGAGGAGCGGAATCCTGCGCATAGCCTGCAGGTCCATGATCTTCATCTCCATTTGGGGTTCCTTCCTGCGCCTTGGCTGACAAGCGAACCGGAGCCTATGCAATGATTGGTGTTGGCTCTTCTCCTTGCTGTGTATCAATTCGAACCGTTTCCTGTCATGTGGCACCAGCTGCCCATGTTTGAGCGTTGGTACTGCATGACCCGTCGTCGGGCAACAGGGACCTTTGGGCTGTGGGACGGAGAGGTTCGAGTGGAATCCCCCAACCAGTGGGATCCAACCACCATCATGAATCTTTCTCGGAGATGTGGTTGTAGGCCGGCATTTGGGAGCTCATGCCGAACAGCTTTGCACCGCGCCGATCAGAATGTCTGCCCATGTTACTTGCATTGCACTGAACTTACGAGCTTCGGTGGTTCCACCCATCCCCTTCACTGAACATGTTTTCGCGGCCCTGGAGCAATATCTAGATCAGGGAGATGCCGGTTGAGTGGGAGCACTTTGTGCCAAGCTTTGCGCAACACAGCACCGGTCCATACGGGGGTTCGGGTGCAAGGCCGATTCCGCGACGCAAAGCCTGAATCGATCGGAGTTTCACAGAGGCAGACCACATCCTTGTCGTCGTCGAGCACATTTGCATCAAGCGGGCACGTATATATATATATATATTTTTATATATAAGACATCGCAATAAATGTATCTGATGTTGCCCAGTTTGTTCACGTTGCACATGTGTTTGGACTTTTTCCACGACGCTTCATGCCCACATTGGCCTGCATCTGCATCACTCGTCTCACGATCAGTTTCTGTGTCTTTTTTGTCTTTGGAGTAGAATCTTGAGATGTTTCGGAAACATGAACACCGAATGCCCAACATCCGACGGAGCTTGCAAGGTCCTTCCTCTGGAGTTTGCTTTGTTGCATGAGCCTCGTGGCTTTTGCTATCCATGATGAAGAAGCCATGGACAAGCTGACAAAGGCCTTTTGCAGAAGTCTCGTGTGCAGGTTCGGGGTGCAAGTCTCTAAGTTTGCACAATTGCTACTACTTGGCTTCTGCCGGACAGCTGCTATTACTACTACTACTACTACTACTACTACGGCTTCCATTCTTCTTCAGAAGTTGTTGTGGGGACGGGGCTCCTGTTTTTGTTCGTTCCTTCTTGTTGTTGTTGTCGCTACGAGGAGGTTCAGACCTCAAGTCCCGATACCCCGCAGAAGCATGTGTCTTAAACAGATCATAGCCGCATAGCCCTACGATGGCCCTACAAAGCAGGTCCAAGAGCCCCGCGGGCGCGGCTCCGCGCATGCCCCACTCATTCTCACTGACCCCTTGCAGGGCAGGGCCTCCAGTTCGCCAGCGAAAGCCGGGGCCGGACCCTCAAATGTGCTGTTGTGTCATACGTGGGTTCGAGAACACTTTGAGACCTTCGGAAGAACAGCACATCGCGGCAGACTGGGAACGGCGACGGGGCAACCAGTCCAACATGCATCGGCACGTTGACGGGTACATCGCCCTCGATACTGACCCTCCGAGAAGATGCTGGCACCGACCACCATGTCAAGTGGGGGGACGCTGCAGGTTCCGAGGCATGCAGGATCACTGGCTCAGATCAAGAGGACCCGTAACTCAGATCCTGGACGGACGCCCCATCAGATCAATATGCTAGACGAGCCAGCTCAGCTAGACGTGTTAGGCTTTTGGGTTTTAGCATGACGCACTCCGTTTAGGGTTGGGTTGTTGCACCAGTGCCTTCTCGTTGGGCTCAGGGTTTCCGCATCTAGCCACTCCTTTTGATGATTTTGTGTTTGCGCGCCAACTACCACTTTTTCGGGCTGGGGGCTTTCGCAGCCACCCGCTCCTTTTTAGGTTTGGGTTTGCCCTTTTTCGGATTTGGGTTTATGGGGTTCGAGGCTTCAGCAAGGGTTTTGGGTGTGCGCCCACCCACTCCGTTTAAGGTTTTCGTTTCCACACCCAGCCACCTTTTTTGGCGGTTTGAGTTTGTGCACCAGCAACTCCTTTCAGGGTATTGGGTGGGTTTCGCGCCCACCCACTCCTGTTTGGGGTTTGGGTGTTCGCAGCGGCTACTCCTTCCAGGGTTGTTCCGTTTTAGGGTTTGGGGCTTTGCACCCACCCTCCGACTTTTTGGATTTTCGCAGCTCCTATGGAAGATTGGAGTTCACGGAGCCGGGTACTTCTCTTGGGGTTTTGGGTTTTCGCACTAACCCACTTCGATTAAGGTTTGGGTTTTGCACGAGATTCTCCTTTTCGCATGACTCCTTTTAGGGTTTGGCTTTCCCACCCATCCACTCCCTTTAGTGCTTTTAGGGTTGCAGGGTTGTCTTTCCTCTGCCCTCAACCGTTTATCTGCTGATCGGCGAGCCAGCGTGCGCGCTCGGAAGCCCAACCGCGATATCGACCGTGCCAGACGGTTGCCGTGGACAGAAGCTAGACCGATCGAATCTGCAAGCGAATGAACAGCATCGTTCGGCCGGGGGGCATGATCCGAGTAAGAATCGTGTGGATTCTAGTAAGGAAGTGTGCATGCGGGCGAAGCGTTTGAATTATTCTGACTCACGAGGTCGATTGCCGCAGAGGTCGTTATTGTCATAGTAGGCTCTGACCGTGCTCGCCGAAGTCTGGCAGCTTCAAACTTTAGGGGCTGGAGGAACTGTCACTTCGATACAGATCGAGAGCGAGCAACGGCGTTGTCAGCACGCGTCCGGGCTACATGGTTGAGGGGCGACGTAAACGCTACTTCGTGTGGCCTCGACTGAGCTGGGGATACAAGCTTCAGAACCGACAATGTGCCTGCTGTGCACCTGCTGAGTTCCTCTTCCTGTTCTTCTTCGTTCAGTACTGGGGTTTGCCACTCGGTGCTGGTGAACGAACCGTGAATGCTTTTTCTTGGATCTAAATCATGCAACTCCTTAACGCCAGGGGTTGCACCTGGAGCGTCGTAGTCGCAAACTTAGCATTCCCTGTTTTGGACCCCACTCTTCAATTGGCTGAATGGGTTCAAGCCGCAGCCAGCCGGCACATGTCTTTGACGCTGCTTTAGCACTAGCGTTGTGTTGGCGACGACGAAGCCGCAGCAGGTTCCGCTTACGTACACAGATTGTAGATTGCATGACTGGCCACTTAGCAGATAGTGCTGTCCTTGACCTTCCAAGTGCCCCGCTGTATTTTCAGACTGCATGAACTGCACAGCATCACCTCCGCATGTCAGCGCGATGAGTTATAGACTGTTGGGAGGCATATCCTACACTGGCAATGGCTGGGATATGATGAGTACAGTCGGCATCTAAACATCAGATATTGCTCCAAGCGACCGAGTCGTATGGATTTGACTAACAGAGGACATTTGGGAGGCATGAGGCACTAAACTTGGTTTGCCGGCTCTTGGACTGGCCCTAGACTTGAGACTTCAGGGTCCACGACCGGAGCACCCAGGATGGTGGCCATGGATGCGGCCTACACGGCTTGCTGTGGCGTCTTCGGCCGCTGGTATTTTCTCAAAGAATCCCGGCGCTTTTCAAGCTTTACTGAGGCAGTCCATGCTCCTTTCAGTAGGTAGGGATCACTGTATGCTGCGCAGTGGGAGAAAGGTGTCAGCAGAGGAGACATTATGTACGACGAGGATCATATTGTGTCTTGTTGGTGGCACTCACCAGTGGTAACTGTCTATGCCACGTCTTGGTCGCTCCTGCTGTTCTATCCTTTCCATGGGCAGGCAGCACCACAAACAGCATCGACATGGTAGCCGCAAAAACAACAGGGTAGAACAACATCACTGCTAGAGACAGAGCAACTGAAAGCATGCAAATAAAGATTGCAATATAGCGAGATGCAACAGCGAGTTTTGAATGTGATGATGATGTTGAGGATGATGGTCATTATGATGGCGATGAACATGATGATGATGATGATGATGATGATGACGGTGATGATGGGATGAAGCCCTGCGGCTCACAGTTAAGAGGCCCCCTGGTGCTTGGTGTTTCATTTCTTGGGGTGGTTCTCTTTTCTTGGGCTTTTCTCTCTCTGGCGAAGTTAGATGAGCGAACATGGCAGCATGGGCATGTCCGACATTGAGTCCGATCCTGAAGATGTAGAGCGAACACCTCGGGACCAACAGATGCAAGGTCCACCGACAGCGAGCGATTTGCTGCCTCGTGGCCATCCTTGCCCTACGCCAATCACTGGAATGGGAGTTGCCAAGCCCTCGCCGGATGATCCGGCAGTCCTCTCATCGTCGCCTCCAAGGCCCGCATCTGCCAAAAAGCCGGTTCTGTGCATCCACTTCGTCATCGACTGGTTCGAGCGAGATGCTCCCAAGTGCTGACAGCAACGAAGACAGTGATGATGATGGAGACGGCCGACATGCCAGTGAGGATGGCTCGGGAAATTCCTCCACATGGTGCACTACCAGCTTTGCTTGCAGGACCATCCTTGTCCCAGGCTGTGGACACACTGCTTGGGATGTACCGAAGCCAGCTGTCGGACACGGAGCAGTTTACTAACAGAGAACGGGGCGGACGAGTGGGGGCACTGCGCAAACGACGACCTGCGCAGCTTTGGAGATTTGTCAGCGACACTGCCCGCAGATACCTGCACGCTGCCTGGAACAATGGCATGCCTATGAATATCAGGCCACCCACGAGCGCCGGCCCCGACGCTGGAACCGAGAACCTCACGCGATTGCGTACGTTCCTACGCATGAGGCGTTCCAGGAGCTTATGCACTGCTCACTGCCAGCCCCTTACGTCTTTGCACCCCTATGGACCCACATACCTGCAACAGACACCGGCCAGCCGCTCCTCTGTGCGTGCGGAGATGGCTGCATCTGCAGGCCCTTCGGAACCACGACGCTGTAGCCTGGTTGCTCCCCCTTGTCGTTCTAGACATTCTAGAATTTTTCTCTAGGTCCTCTACACAGAAGAGCCGAGCCGGTCCCAAATCCGGCACTATAGCCTGTCCTTACATTTGTGGTCATGCAACGGTAGCGAGGCGAGGGTTGCATCTGCAACCATGGCAGGTGCGGGATCCACTTCGGAGGAGATAACCAGGCACCTTCGAGATCGAATGCACTTCTTCCCAAGCATGTTAAGCGAGCCTTTGAGAGGGCATGTGGCAGGGCTGCTCGTTCTGACATTAGCGGAACTTGGTATAGGGGACTGTGGCATGCTTTTAGGTCTCTAGGACGCCTTCCCCAACCTTCACCTTCTTCCTGTTCCCGCCGAGTGCCATCCGCCAGCAGAAGAGCTAGGATCAAGGATGTTCCTCTGCACGTTCTTTCGTGGAATGCGAGTGGACTCTCGTCACATGTCTACCAAGAATTTCTCGCTTGGGCTGAACAACAACAAATGTCACATCATCATCATCATCATTCAGGAAACACACTGGGTCTGCGAATCCGACTACACATCAGGCCAGTGGCTTTGTGTGCACACCCGTGGCACAACAGCGCCCCTCCTGAGAGGTCCAGTGGCGTGCTGATGCTGCTATCCAGGCAGCACTTCGCCAATGCAGCCCTTCGCGAGACTGTGCCAGGCAGAGCGTTGGAAGTTCAGGCTACCCGTTTAGGCTAGTGGGTTGCCCCTAACGGTTGTAGGCATTTACCAGCATGTGTGGCGAACCACCGTGTCCACCGCGCAGAACCTCGAGCTACGTAGAGTTGTGTGGCAAACCATCGCTGATGTTGTGCAAAACACACCACAACGGCATCATCTCATCATTGCCGGCGACTTCAATGCCAATCTGACAGCTCAGCATCCCCATGTAGGGACTGCCGCTACAAGATTGCTTGCTGCGAATCACTCTCCGGAGCTGCAACAGCTTCTAGTCGACGGTGATCTTTGTGCGATAAATACATGGCACGCAGCCGATCGTCACACTTACATCACACCAGGACACAAGAACTAGAGTTTATGCTCAATCAGGAGGGCCGAAGCTCGGGGCAGAGCCAAGCAAAAGGCTCCAGTGTCTAACTTCCCTGTTGCGGGCTGGCGATAGGCCCTCCACCTCCCGCTGCAAGCTGAGCTGTGGCTGCGACAGTATCGCAGGCAAGCGGATGCCTTGTTATCTGCCCAACATAGATGCCAGCTTGATGCCTTGCAAGATGCAGTAGTGGCCAAAACGACCAAACAATCAACTGCAACAGCATGTAGAGGCCAGAGTCCAGCAGCTGCCCGCACTTGATGCGGCGAGTCTCCAGGCCAGTCGACCATATCTTATGGGACGCGGCTGAGAAAATTTTCCCAAGCAGCCCAAGCCTAACTTCCGTATATGCTCGCAGCCGCAATTCCAGGCCAGTTCTCGCCACACATGTATGCGCGCCTCAAAGCTGTCATCGGCGGGTTCCAAGGCCCTTCGACAGCAAAGTCGTGCTATCAAGCGGGCCTCTTATGACAAACAGGTCCAGGAAGCTGAATCTGCGGCTGAAAGAGGCGACCAGCGAAACCTTTACATGATAGTCAAGACACCGTTCCGAGATCGCACAAAACCGTCTCGGGCTGCTAGGCCCTGACGGCGATGCACAGGAGGAGCTCCAAGCTCTACTTCAATGTGGCAAGCGAACCGTTGCATGTCTCCCAGACATTGAAAACTTAAACTTCGCAGTCTACAACTCGCAGTTAGCAGCCTGCAAGCTGAGCCGTGGGCACTTAAGGTGCGCAAAGCTGTGCCTCCTCACGTGGCACCCGCAGCCATGTGGCGCCTTTGTCATGCATGCATTGGCACTTGCCTTGCTCAGGCACTCACGGACCATTTTCAGCTGCCCGCTCACAAGCCCTTGCAGGCTGACTGGCGTGATTGCTGTATCAAGTGGCTGCCTAAGCCTGCCAAAAAGCCTATTCCTGATGAGGCCCTACTGCCGATTGGACTTCAGTGCTCATCGACCAAGGCCCTGGCTAACAGCTTCTGCAGGTCCTTCTTCCTGCCTGAGCTTCTCTCCCTCACGGATGCCCTCCTACGGTGCACATGCATTTCAATGATGTTACTCATTGTGGATCGCTTTCAGAAAGACTTGGGCAGAGGGCAGCGACATTTCTTGGTGCCATGAGTCTTTCCCTTGATGTATCAAAGGCATTCGATAGTGTTGCCACAGCTGAAGTGTACCACACCATGCTGTACCATCAATGAGGTGGTGAATGCCATCCAACAACTTCACCTTCATGCGCAGTACAAGTATCAGGTGGGACAACACTGGCATGGTGCCACCTGCACCACCAACGGAGTAAAGCAAGGATGCAAAGTTGCACCCTATCTTTGGTGCTTCCTGACGCTTCAGTTCATGGAGCGATTGCTGCACGAGCGAAGTGAGACATGGCTCTAAGACATCATGACCATCTTTGCTGATGATGGCTGGTCAAATTGGATTCTGCACAGCGCTGCCGATTTCCTCAGGGCTAAAGCTGATGTCGAGCTCATCCTCTCCATTCTGGAGAGTCTCACAGCCTCACCATCAACTATAAGACAACAGCTATTCTTATGATTCTGGAAGGGCGGGAACCGGCTAAGACGCTGCGTGATCACACAATTCTTAAGGCTGGACAGCAGCACCTGCTTCTGACAGTCTCGGGTCGTGAATGGTGTGCATGCGTGCAAACTAGCACTCACTACTCGTTGGCACCGGTCGGGGTCACCAGCAAAGGCATGGATCTGCTTACGAAGTCTGCCGCTCGACAACTACGAGCGGCCCTAAGACGCTTGCCCAAACCTCGAAGCCTCTGTCTTAAAAATGGGGGTTGGTGACTCGACTCTCCAGGCATGACCGCCGCTCCGCAGCTGATGCGCTATGCCGAAGATCAGCTGCGTCGGCTGAAAAGCGTGGCTGCGACAGAGGCCCCAACTAGATCCCGCC